CTTTCTTTCTTTATCTATAATTGATAAATATTTTGAGTCTTGAGTTTTCATGACTAATTATTATTCTTTTATTGGAACACTTATTAATTATCATCTTGAGACACATCAAATTCCTAATTATCCTATTAGAATATCTCCTCAAGACTTTTACCCCTATTGTTATCCTCTTCAATCTAATTTATTATTATAATTTCATATCTTTTATTTATTCGCAAAATATATTAAAGCAATATCAATTAATCAAATCATATATCTATTATTTCAAGAACTAATTCAACTTGATCTTACTAAAATATACATTAGCCAATTAAAATAAAGAATAGTATAATTAGTAAATATCTTTATCTTTGATTATATTAATATCCAAGAAGAATAACTTAATTTAATTGAACAGTTTTATTAATAGTTCATTCATCAAGTCTTTACCTTTTAACTCTGTTAATAGTAATATTAACAGATATTACTCAGAGATAAAGAACTTAGAAAATATCTCTGTTTCTCTAGTATAGAATACAGAATTAGAAGAAAACAGTAATTCTTCAGATTTAGAAGAAGATAATCAAACAAAATCAGAAGATAACAATTAATTATCAGAAGAAGAAAATAACCAAATGGCTTAACAGAATAATAACAATAACCTAGACAATCTTATTCAAGCTCTTGGAATATTAGCTAACCAAATGGCTAATCAAAATATCTAGCTTATGAAAAAGATTATTATTTCAATCAGGAAATACTATAAAAATGATCAAGATTCTACTAAATGGCTAAAAGACTTTAATATTACTATCTAAATTAATGGAATCACTAATATCAGAAAAGTATAACTAGTTAGAGAATATCTAGAAGATACTGCTGCCTTATAGTATGATAAAAGAGGAAGAGATAATGCTACCTGACTAATAATCTAAAGTGATAATAATGATCAACCACACAGTTTCAGTTATTAATTTGCTACTCACTTTCATATCCAGAAAAGAATTGACCAATGGCAAGATGAAATTGAAATCTTACAACAAACTGAAGAATATACAGATAAATTTATAAATCTACTTCATAAAGTAGATCCAGAAAATGAATATTCAGAAGAATATAAAATCTAAACATACAGAAGAGAATAGAAATCAGAGATCAGAAAATGGATGCAGATCTTAGCTAATGGAACTTTTCTAAATATGGTACAAGTTGTAAAAAATATAAAGAAAACTAATGCAGATATTCCAATTTGAGAATATTATCAATCCCAGAATTAGAATAACTCAACACTAAATACTATATTAATAGTACTTTAAGATCTCAATCAGTGAATAGAGAGTATTGAAACTAGTAAAAGATCAAACTATAATAGAAATAGTTCAGATTATAGGTCTAATAACCAAAATCCCAAACCAGTTTCAATCTGCTACAATTGTGATAAGCCAGGTCATATCTATTCTAACTGTCCTTAGCTATAAATATATTAGAATAATCAGAACAACTTTGAAAATAATCATCAGAGAATGAATAGAAATAATCAGCAACAAAATAATGTGCTACCAAATCAGACAAATACTGATAATAATCAAAATATAAATAATAATCAAAATGCATTATTGGTCTAAATACAAGCTCTTACTGATAGTATTTAAATATTAACTGCCAAACCTGATAATGTAAATTTACTATTTGGAATATATGAATACTTGGCTGCTGAAAGGAAATCCAGAAATTCCAGAACTACTCCTTATAGAATCAGATCCATAGATTAACTTCATAAAGAAATAGTTAATAAAAATAAGAAATCAAATGACAATAAAGAAGAAGAACAAGAAGATACTTCTGAAGTTATTCTTAATTAGGATATAAATAATACTAGATTATCAAAAACTCTTGAAGAAGAACTTGTTAAAAGACTATTTATAAAAAGAAAAGCAAAATTGCTTTACCTATACTCACTACTATAACTAAATCTTATGATATTCTAGAAGATTTAGCTCAATAAAAAGTAAATATAACTATTGCTCAACTTATTCAAATCTTATCTTCACAAAGAACTCAACTATCAAAAGAAATATATCATGCTACAGCACTCAAATCAAAAAGAAAAAGAAGAGTATTACTTGGACAAAAGCTTAAAATCACATCTGCCTAGTGTGAAGTGAAAGTTATAAAAAATATTACTAATTTAATCATTGATACCAGTATCTCTGGATATGTCACTACATATAATTTTATTAAAAATATGTAATTGAAAATATAATAAAGTTCAAATATTTCAATATCAAATATAAATAGTATATCTAAATGGGGGAGACTAGGGGAGGTTTCCACTAAGAGATTATTTATATCTCACCTAGCTCCAGCTTGCCTTCTAGTATATTGATCTTTTTTTATTATTATATTTATATTTGATCTTTTTTCGCTTTGAAATATATCTAGAAATCTATATTGCTTTCTTGCCTAGCTGGAGATTCCAAAATCTTAATTTCGATAATGATTAGTTTATATTTTTTGACACATTTTTAATATATTGTATAATTATCTGACCTTTAATCATCCTTTAACTATCAAGAAAATATTATAGATTTCTTGCCTAGTTTGAGTCTCCAAAATCTTAAATTGGATGACAAGTTAACTATACTTCGAACAAAAAAATATATTATATAGCTATTTGATCTTTTTTCACTTTAAAATATATCTAGATAATCTTTTAGCTTTCTTGCCTAGTTTGAATCTCTGAAATTGATTATTACTAGTTGTATGAGAATGTAGGCACAAAGTGCTATTTCTTCGAAATAAGCATCCAAAAATGTGAAGTGAAGCAGAGTATCTAGTTAGCATATTGCTTTCTAATATTCAGAATCCTGTCTCCTCATGATTGAATCACATAAGAAAAAAAGAAAAAATGTAGGTGATTTCAGAACCACAATCAATTATGGATACATTTTTATTGTCTTCGCTTGAAATTGTTATCATAAAAACTATATGAATGCAATATATATTTAACACAAAAATAATTGTACAATTTATCCAAATTTGTAGAAATTTCTCTATTATAATATGAATTTGAATTTTTCAAAGATTTTGTTTAAATTTTTTGTTCAATTTTTTGTATAAATTTTATCAAATATATTTCATATTGACTATAAACTGATTACAGATAAGCTACCATCAAGTATATTAAAGTGAGCATATAATCAATTACTTAGCCAAAAACGCAATCCAATTTCATCAGATCAAATTATAGAAAAGTATGATCAAATTGAAAACTATTTGCATAATGCATTGGAAGTTTATGAAAAATATAAAGCTCACAACAGAAAAAAATCATTATCTATTTCATTATCGATAAACTTACCTACTAACAAAGCCAATGTACTTTTGCATAGCTCTGATATAATCGAGTAAAATTCAGATCCAGTAGAATCTACCTTACAAGACATGCAGACATTATTAAATATAAAGTGTCCTACTTCACAAAATAAATCTCTTACCTATACTGAAGAAGAATTTAATATGCGATTAAAAGAAGAAACTGATGCATTATGACTAAAATTTATTGATGCTTCAAAGCAAAAAATACTAGAAATTAGTAATATTTTAGCTCACAAAAATGCTGTACTAGATGTTGAAACAATGAAAAGCTGGATTTGAGATGAAAGTATATATGTTAAAATTTGTGAACTTGAAATAGAAGATGGGAATGATTATTCAGATCAAAAAAATAGAGGAGTATAGTAGGTCTGATTTTTAATCAATTTTTATTTTTTTGATAGATTTAATAGTAGGCTCAACAGTAAACTTATTCAAAGACTGGCCCATGCTATTGTTGACTTGAGTAGATTCAACTGAAGGCTGACTTACATCAATATTAATTCTACACTTAATAATTTGAAAATGTCACTTTAATATATATGGATACCGAAATTGTTTATAGTATAAGTGATAGGTTCTATCTGACATATCACAAACTACTGATTTTTTTTTAACTCAAAATCTTGTATTGCTAAATTATTACAAAGCAATGATCCTTCAGGTTTACAAATATGCTCAGTTTGAATTGGTACATAAGAAGTTTTTTCATCAACAATCATTTGAAATTAATCTTTATTAGTATCTATAATACCTTTAACTTGCTTAATCCAAGACATTCCAAGTACTATAGGATGTCCTAAATTTTTTATTACTAAAAAGTTACCTGGATTAGTAATATTACCAATAGAAATTGGAATACCTTTCTTTTCATCAATTGGAATAGTTTTTGAACCAGCAACCTTTACTTGAAATTGTGCCTTTTGATCAATATTAAAATCAAGAGAATTAAAAAACTTATCATCAATCATATCAATATTTGATCCTATATCAAGAATACCATTATTAAATTTGACATCATCAATATAACCAGATATATAAGCAACAGTAGCTTGTGACATCTCAGATCCTTGTTCTATAAGATTAACTATCTGTATAGGTTTGGATGAGATATCATCTTTTCCTATAAAAGCTTTTCAAAGTTCAACATGCATAGCAGGAGATACTATTTTTAAAAGATCTGTGATATGTATTTGTGTTATCATTCCTACAACTGCTTTATTTGCCAAAGAAGCTATAGCTTGATGTCTAATCATTCTAGCTTGTGCAAGTTTCTTCTTACTCATTTTTGGACGTGATACTGAATTATTTTAACTAGAGATAGCTAGATTTAAACTTTGATTTGAAACGGAAGTATCTCTAGAACTACGTGTCACTTTTTTTTTATAGGAGGTATATCATGCTGGTCTTTCAGCATTATAAGCAAAATTTTCATAATCATTTTTATAATCATTCTCATAATTATCTAAATCATTATAATCTTCAGAATAATTATTCTCTTCATCTTCATCTTTATCATATTTGGCAAGGTTTGATACTAGATCATTGAGAGACCATCTAGAAGTCATATCACTTAGCATTTCATCATTTTTGTTATCAATTTATTTTTGCTGAGCCATAGTTAATCTTTTTGGCTTGGGTAGAACTTGTGGTTTATTGGATAAATAAGCTTTTGATCTAAAATAATTATCACAAGCTTTGAAAAAATCATCAAAGTCAGAATAACCAGCATCTTGTATAAGTTTTAATTGTCTATAAGCAAAAATTTCTTCTATATCTTTTGGTGGTACTTTGAGTGCAATCTTTTTTGGTCTGGCTCGAGATATTGGATTTTCATTCTCATCTATAGTAAATTCAGTAACTCCAGTAGCTTTTTAACGTTAAGGTGTTGATATAAATTTTTGTTGAACTTGTTGTGATGATATTGCTGGAGCTGGTTGTTGTATTACAGGAGCTTGATTATAAACTGGAACTGATTACTGTATTACTTATTGAGATGCATTACTTTGACTAAGTGCATATGCTTCGAGCTCTGCCAAATTTTTTAG